TGGTATTGTTTTAACTATAGGCTTAGTTGACCCCTCTCCCAATGTAGCACTTATGGTTGTGACCATAAAGCTCTATTTTGGTCTTGCCATTCCAAATTGCAGTGTGCCAGAAGCTGTGAGGCATGTCAAGGTGTTGTCGGGCATATTGTAAGTGTGCTTTTTTGTGACATTGGCACAGTAAGGGCTTCTTTCTGGCAACTCGACCAAGTATCAACCAAGTATCCTCGTATTGAAATGCTCCTTGAAATAACAACACCGTCTTTTACCAGAGCAACCTGTATTTCCTGTGTTTTTTTGTTTTTTTTATTTGTATACCAAACAATCCTTATGGCAGTTGTGGCTGAAATCTGTTTTGGTCTACCTGAACTTGGCTTGGTATCAGAGCCGGTGTAAGGATTTTTGCCGCCCTACGCAAAAACATTTTTGCCGCACCCCCCCCCCATATGTCCTGTCTACCATGTGACATCACAATGCCTCGCCCATATGCTCTGCCATATGGGCCAACGCCAGTCTTCACAAAGTGTCTTTTATCTGAAAAGACAGTGTGTTTACATTAAAAAGCCTACAGGCACAGGCTATAGACACCAGAACCACTACATTATGCTGTAGTGCTTCTGGTGACTATAGTATCCATTTAATGTGAGGTAAATTAGAGATTAGTGCCACTAATAATATATTGGATTGCCTACTTACCACCAGATGAGGACAAGAGGCTGATGATGGGCTCAGTCTGGCTCCACAGGTCTGGTGTAGAAGAGGCTCTCTGGAGACTGTTTTTAACAGTGCTCACAACAATTTACGAACAGGAAGCAGCTCCATTTTTTATGGCCCCTTACACAGCTCCAGGTCTGGGCCCCCAGGGCTTGACCGTGAGTATGCCTACAATGCCCACCCATAAATACCAACATGGCCCACCCATGAGTTCTCTCATAGGAAGTGGAGTGTATGTGTGTAGGGGATGTTTTATGTGTTATTGTAGAGGATGCAATGTGTGTGTGTTCTTATAGAATGTAGTGTATAGGGATACCAATTTGTATAAGGGATGTAGTGTGTTTATAGGGGATGCAGTGTGTGTTTGTGTGTAAGGAATGCATTGTATGTTTCTCTGTGTGTGTGTGTGTGCAAGGGGTGCAAAGTGTGTTTCTGTGTATGTAATTGAATGCAGTGTGTGTCTGTAAGGGGTGCATTGATTGTGTAAGAGATGCATTTTGTTTCTGTGTGTAAAAGAATGAGTGTTTGTGTGAACGTAAGGGATGCATTGTGTGTTTCGGGTGTGTCTGTGTGTGAGTTGGAATGCATTTTATGTTTCTGTGTGTGTGTGTGTGGGGGGGGATGCATTATGTATGTGTGTAGTGTAAAAGAGAGGGTTTGTGGGGTAGGATAGGGACTGAGAGGGGAGCATTTTTTTACATTTTTTTCATAGTGCTCTTCCCTCCTGTCAATTATTGATTTACCCCCTATGTACAGGTTTTATGGTGTTTTGGGAAGTTACAGGGTCAAATATAGCACGTTACATTTGAAATTGAAATTCGCCAGATAGGTTATGTTGCCTTTGAGACTGTATAGTGGCCCATAATGGCAAATGGGGTATGTCCAGTCTTTTTTAGTAGCCATATGGTCACAAACACTGGCCAAAGTTAGCGTTAGTATTTGTTTGTGTGAAAAATGCAAAATACGCCATTTTGGCCAGTGTTTGTGACTAAGTGGCTACTAAAAAAGACTGGACATACCCCGTTTGCAATACCTTGGGTTGTTTACTATTGCAAATGGTATGCCATCATAGGGGTAATTTTCATTCTTGGGCCACCATAGGGTCTCAAAGGCAACGTAACCAATCTGGCGAATTTTTATGTGAAAAAAATGAAACACAAGCCTTAGATTTGACGCTGTAACTTTTCAAAACACCATAAAACCTGTACATGAGGGGTACTGTTGTATTCGGGAGACTTCGCTGAACACAAATAGTATCGCAGCAATAATATCGTCGGTGTAAGCGCTGTTTGTGCGTGAAAAATGCAATAAACTTAACTTTTACAGGCGATATCATCTTTGTAATACATTTTACTCTTTTGAAACACTAGTATTTGTATTCAGCGAAGTCTCCTGAGTAGAACAGAACCCCCCATGTACAGATTTTATGGTGTCTTGGAAAGTTATAGGGTTAAATATAGTGCAAGCAAATTAAATTCCCTTTACTTTCGGCATGGGTTGTCAGACAGGTCCCGCTAATTGTAATTAACTAAGATACCTAATTATGTAAAAATATTACATAAATATATATGTAGAATTAATATATGTATACATATTTATTTTTTATATTAAATATAAATATATATATATATAATTATATGTATATTTAATCAGTATTATTCTACGTGTAATTTGATATATATATATATATATATATATATATATATATATATATATATATATATATATATATATAATTATAGATATATTAATAGTAAAATACACCTAGACAGTGTATGTGTGTGTATATGTATGTGTATATATATATACTTAGATCATATAAATAAAATATATATATATGATCTAAGTATATAATTATTATTTTTTTACACTGATTAACATTTATTTTATTTGAATTCAGCCAGCAGGGGGTCCCCCTGCTGGCAATGCAGCAGCCAGCTAACCCGGCCATGTGATTGTGAGGTCCTCGCAAGGACCTCACTCTCACATGGCGGGTGGGGCTGCAGGGGGGCTGCAGGACATCGGATGTGCCGCGGGGGTCTCCCTGGGAGTCCCCCCAACCATGATAAGTAAAAAAAAAACCGGAGGGTGTACTATTACGCCCTGCGGCGTTTAGAGCCGCTTAGAATAGGGCGTAATAGTACGCCCTCCGGTCTTAAGGGGTTAAAAAGCCACAAGTGTGAGAAATTAACCTTTAATTTCCATATTAACCTATGTGTGTCATCGTGTGTGTCTGTAACAAGGCCAAACATTCAAGGGTATATAAACTTTTGATCAGGGCCATTTTGGGTTATTTCTGTTATCATTATGATTTAAAAAGGAGCTTAACAACTATGTGATAATAAATGGCTTCATATGATCACTATCTTTCAGCAAGATATATATATATTTTTTTTTTGCATGATCAGTCATATTTTCAAAATCATTGCCATAATTTCACAATTTCTGCCAGGGTATGCAAACTTTTGAGCACAACTAAGAGCATATTGTATCATTTGTGCATATTTGATATAATTCCCATTCAGATTAATAACAGATTGTGTCAGACCTTCAAAAGAAGATAAACAGATCAATACTGTGGTATAGTAAAAGCAAAATAATCTTGGCTTGAGTACAAACATCACAATGTGGTCTATACCATTACACACCATGCTATTGTATGATAAGGTTTATTCACCCCAAACTGATTATTAGAAATACGGTACGATTTTAAAGGTGCTTGTCTGCCTCACCCCCTGTACACCTCTTTTCAGACATCAGGTTAGACCTCTGTACTGTGAAGTTCTGGTAGACTATTTCCCTATGAAGAGACTGTTAGTCTCTCCCACAGAAAGGGCTTGAAAAAGGTAGTATATCATAAGGACTGCTTTAAGGAAACAATATATTGGGGAAAAAAGAAAGCTACTTGTAATAAGTAGAAGTGAGGTACAAGATCCCAAAATACCCTTAATTCACAACAATTCACACTTGCTTAGACTATATTTCAGAATTTTAAAAATGACTGGAGGAGTTGCTTACTTCCTTTACTGATAAATAGCAGCAAATATTAAAACAACAATAAGAAAACAGAACACAGGGTATATATGAAAAAGACCCTCCCCACAGACTTTGATGAGAGTGACCAGAACCAAAACAATCCAATTAACACACACAATATAAACAGCAACAACGTAACCCAAAACCGTTTCAGCAGATGAAACTGCAGAAAAAATGCTGCAGCCAATCATGTTACGCTAGAAGAAAACAGAAACAGTATAACAATTCGTCAACAATATATATGAAAAACAATTACAAAGATAAACAGAGATATACCCGTAAATAGGCAAGGAACATCTAACATGGCATGAGCAAACCAACGTTAAACAAAAGAAAAGCACAATCCCCATAATAACAAAATAGGTGAACAAAGAAAAAAGGTCCCAGTGAGGACGAACGAGAGTGCAGGAGGAAAATGATTTGCCTTCTGTCATTATTAAAATTCTGGTACACAAAAATCTACACAATGCTGTTCCTAACTACCAATAATACACAAGTATATCCTATCCAGACCCCTACCCTCTGCTGAAGACCTACATCTAACCTCTGTTCGTTCTCTCACCTCTGATGCAAACTTGCAAGACTGCTCTAGGACTACACTGTTCCTTTGGAACTCCCTACACTCCTTGACTCTCACCTAGTCTCAATTCCTTCAAGAAATCATTGCAAACTCACTTCTTTAGCATATCAATTAAACTGTTAATAGTTTTCCCTCCCCACACCTTGTTTCATCTCCTGAAAAAATGTCATCCAAAAAAAATAAAATAAGTAGCAACCTCTTTTTATACCCTACCTTTTTGTCACTTTACCCCACTCCCAATAGAATGTAAGATTGTTTGAGTTTGTTGGCACTTTATAAATATTAATAAATAGGATCAGGGCCAGATTAACTTTTTTTTAACACACTATTCTTAGGATTGCCACCTGGCCAGTATTTTACCAGCACAGCCGGTATTTGAGGCTGCTGGTATTTTTCTCAGTATAAACAGACATTACTCTGCAATACGGGTGCCAGCCAGTAAGGGTTTCTATGTGTGGAGAAAGGCATTGATAGGAAGTTACAGCATATCCCTGCCTCTCTCTACCCATTGATCCGTGGGGGAGCAGATACACAGCAAAGGAGTCCAGACAGAAGCTCCCAGTCTGCAAAAACAGTCTACATCTCAGGTAATTGAGGGATGGGGGGGAAAGCTGCAGGGAGACATGGGAACAGTGGGACTCTAGGGAACACTGGGAGACACTAGGGGACACTGAGACACTTGGGGACACTGAGACACTAGGGGACACTGAGAGAACTGGGGACACTGGGAGACATTGGGAGACATGGAGACACTGAGACACTAGGGACATGGTGTCCCCATGTCTCCCAGTGTCCCCATGTCTCCCAGTGTCCCCTAGTCTCACAGTGTCCCCATGTCTCCCAGCCAGTGTCCCTAGTGTCTTAGTGTCCCCATGTCTCCAAGTATCCATGGTGTCCCCATGTCTCCCAGTGTCCCCATGTCTCCATGTCTCCCAGTGTCCCCTAGTCTCTAAGTGTCCCCATGTCTCCCAGCCAGTGTCCCTAGTGTCTCAATGTCCCCATGTCTCCAAGTATCCCTGGTGTCCCCATGTCTCCCAGTGTCCCCTAGTCTTTCAGTTTCTCAGTGTCCCCATGTCTCCCAGTGTCCCCATGTCTCCCAGTGTCCCTAGTGTCTCAGTGCCCACATGTCTCCTAGTGTCTCCCAGTGTCCCCAAGTGTCTCTGTGTCCTCATGTCTTAGTGTCCCCATGTCTTCCAGTGTCCCTAGTGTCATCTAGTGTCCCTAGTATCTCCATGTCTCAGTGTCCTCAAGTGCCCAATGTCTCCCAGTGTCCCTAAGTGTCTCATTGTCCCCATGTCTCACAGTGTCCCCAATTGTCTCAGTTTCCCCAGGTCTCCCAGTGTCTCCAGTGTCTCAATGTCCCCATGTCTTCCAGTGTCCTCATGTTTCAGTGTCCCTAAGTGCCCCATGTTGCTCAGTGTCTCTAGTGTGTCAGTGTCCCCATGTCTTCTAGTGTCCCTTGTGTCTCAGTGCCCCATGTCTCCTAGTGTCTCCCAGTGTCCCCAAGTGTCTTAGTGACCCTATGTCTCCCAGTGTCCTAGTGTCTCAGTGTCCCTAGTGTCTCCTAGTGTTCCCATGTCTCCTAGTGTCCCTAAGTGTCTCAGTGTCCCCAAGTGTCTCAGTGTCCCCAGATCTCCCAGTATCTCCAGTGTCTCAATGTCCCCATGTCTCACAGTGTCCCCAATTGTCTCAGTGTCCACAGGTCTCCCAGTGTCTCAGTGTCTCCTAGTGTTCCAATGTCTCTCAGTGTTCCCAAGTGTCTCAGTATCCCCATGTCTTCCAGCCAGTGTCCCTAGTGTCTCAGTGTTCCTTGCTAAATCTATCTGTTTTTGGTTATTACCCTTTTGGTCTGACAATATACTTCAACTCTGGGTGATTCTATTGAAACATAGATCTCGCTTCATCTGACCTCTCTTATTTTCTCTTACATTGTGTTACCTGTTTTTTTCTCCATCTCTTGAATTACTCTGTACCTTAGTATCTGACTTATAACTGGACTTCTTATATTTCCTGTTTCAACTGCTAATTCCCTTCTCTCAGTATCACTTCAAGTCTATCTTGCTGCCATGAACGCTACGCTGTAGAATTGCTGTCGTAGTGTCCTCTTTGTATTCAGGACTGTCTTTCACTCGCCACACCCAGTCAGTTGACAGTTTGTGCCGCTTTTATCAATCTATTCCTAGTACCTGATATTTTTCAATCCTTTGATTTTTTTCCCCCCAGCTTTAAATTTTCACCCCACATTTTGTTGGTCTCACTCCAGCATAGTCTGTCACCCTATAAGTCATAATGAATGCCAGACTAATTTCCTTAGCTCTTCTTCCTCTTAAACCTCATTATTTTGACATTCCGTATGATAGCCCCCTATTAGTTTTATGGTTCAGGATAAATCTTATTCTCCACTTATAACTCTTTTGTGCAGAAGACATACAACGTTCCTTTCTTTACAACTGCCCTACCAATTTTAACCTTTAGTACTTCTCTTGCACTGACCGATCCTACGGAATTCCCTTTACTGGTCAAATGGTCTTTCCTAGTACATTAGGTCCCCCCCCTTATTGGTTTTGAGGCCCCCCCCCACTGCTCAGGGGTGGGCATCAGGGAGATGGACATTAGGTCCCCCCTTATTCTAATTTAGGGCACCCACCCACCACTCAGCGTGGGGGCGCCGCTCAGTGGTGGAGGCCGGGGGTGAGGACAATAGGTCCCCCCATTATTTTACTTTAGTGCACCCATCCACCGCTCAAACGTGGGGGCTGGGGGGGAGGACAATAGGTCCCCCCCCTCATTTTTCTGATTAAGGGCCCCCACCCGCCGCTCAAGGGTGGGGGTGGGGGGGGGGAAGAGGCAACTTTTTTTTTTTTTTAACAGTGAGCAGCCACTTTAATAGACATCCCCCTACTCGCGGTCTAGCGAGTAGGGGCACAATTAACTAATACTACTTTGTTTTTACTTAGTATTAGTAAATTTGGCTGAAAGACCAATTTAGGTCTTTCAGCCTTTTGGTAGATAACTCCCTAATACTGTGGGAGTTATCTACTAAGCGGCTGCAAGAGAAGTCCCAAAGCTCTCCTCCCCTCTTAACCCCTTAATGTTACAAAATAAAATAAATTACAGTTAAAAATAAAATATACTTAGAACATATATATATATATATATATATATATATGTATATATATATATATATATATATAATCTAAGTATATATAAATATACACATTTACACATACACTAAGGCAAAACATTCACACACCCTCACTCTGGGAAACCCTACACCATTCGACCCTGCTTAACGTGTACATCGGATTTTGTAATATACAAACTTACTTGCCCGTGTGGACTGGCCTATGTGGGCAAAACAGATTTACCCTTACGTGAACGAGTCCGTAACCACAGATCCAGTATACGGACTGCTTATAGAGACAACAAATCTGAGCAACCCGTGGCAAAACATTTTCTTGAGAAGGGACACTCGTTGCCCACCCTGAAAGTAATGGCCATAGACCATGTTCCACCTTTGCGCAGAGGTGGAGACCGCAGTAAACTGTTATTGCGTGAACTTTACTGGATTAGGACTCTACACACCGTTCAGCCATTTGGTTTGAATGAAAAATACTCATTGGCAGTATTTTTGTAAATATTGGTATCGTAGTTTTGGTTGATAGGTGAACGAGAAAGCCCACCCAGGGGGATAGGCATCTCTAATATCCTTCCCATTATACTGCTTTGATATTCACTTATTTAGCAAGTTGTTGGCACTTATTGACGACTATTAAGGGCTTGGAGGTAGCCCACACTGGGGGATAGGCACTTCAGCCATTCTTAATTTCAGCCTATGACTCTAATGCATGTTGTGCTCCTTACTAAAAAAAACTATAAAATTCTTTAGGATGATTCATGTTATCTGTCTAATGGCGGATGGGTTTAGGGTTAAGAGACAGCCCACCCTGGGGCATAGGCGTCTCAATTACCCATTCCACCCAGTGCTAATAGGTTTATTACTATATATGTCTATTACAATGTGATTTTGTTGAGGACCTTTGCTTTATGTCCCTCGCTTGTATTATTTTGTATTCTGTATATATTATGTGATGTATGCCGGTCTATATAGATTCGGGGATGCATTGGTTCTTTGCTCTGCTGCTTGAGTGTTTGAGTTATATATGTATTTATTTATGTGTTCATGTTGGACTGGACTGGGAGTATACCAGTCATTCTTGGTGCCCTCTTCTCTTTAGATCTCTACAGCTCTACTTAGTGGCTATACTTGTATGTTCTTGTTATTGTGCATTACGTTCTTTTCCCCATAGGTTTAGTTGGTGGATATTTAATCACCCTTTATCTGGCATCATCTTTTCATGTCTTCTCCCTTTTGTGACTGTTAAAGTTGTGACTTAAATATGAATATTAATTTAATAATTAATATATAATAATTAAGCAACAAATAACATTAATAGAGTTCGGTATTATGGTCGAATATATAATAGGAAATGCACAAAACATTGTAGTATTAAATGTATATTTAATATAATTATAATAACAATTAAACAAATGCCAGCAGAATGTCAATTTACCACAATAATTACACAATACA